GAAATACAGAAATGAGACTAATTATCACTGAATTATAACTCTGAAGAAGAGAGAACTTGAGACAAGTCTATTCCCTAGTAAAGAAGGATCATCTAGAGGAAAGAGACAAGGCACTTGCATGTATCCCAGGTTGCATGGAATAAACTACAGTACTTCTAATTTAATCGCAGAGGGCACAAGCGGGAAGTTAGCTGTCTTCAGAGAGGTTTGGCTGTATTAGCTTGCTTTGACATACACACAAAAAGATTGTTTGGCACCTTTAAGTCACAGAGACTCATGGGCTTTGATGAGTTACAGTCCCCTTCTTCAAATACATGGAGTACAAGCTTCATCCCCAGGTATGTGTGTAGGCAGGTCAGAGTGAAATGGACTGCAGAAAATGACAATAAGAAGTATTCAAAGGGCTGGTGCCTTAAATATACTGTCAGTAAGCAAGACACTTAAGTAACAAAGGTACTTAAGGAGCAATAAGCATTTTGTCTGCCAGGCTGCTGTTAATTTTATTTGAAGTGTCAAGGCGGCTCATTCTGCTTCCAAGAAAGTCTTATACACTGTTGTGCTGGAGCCAGGATTTTGTAGGTTGTCATGAAAACCTGCTTCTTAAGGGATGTAATGATATAATGTGACAAGAGATCTTCAGGGCATCTGGCTGCTGCCCTCTCAGAATTTGCTGAGGCAATTCTTTGTGTGGATGAAACAATGATCCTCAAGGATGTTAATGGCAGCTGGCCAACTAAGTCACTCTCACAAGCACTGATCCTTTTACTGGGTTAAGAGAGCAAGGAAACATGCTCTTGAAACTGTTTTTTAAAACACAGTGTGAAAAAGGTAAGTCCCAGCTTCAGTACACATGCTTTTCTTCCAGAGTAACCCAAGTGCAGGCACAGAAACAGTGCTAGTTTGGGGACACACATGCTTAGCACACCTCTGAATTTCTGCTGAAAGACTCTGCCGTAGTGCATTTGATTCAGGATGAGCTGCTCCATATTTCAAAGACAGTCTGGAAAATTAAGCCAATGGACACAGACAGTCTGTCATTCCCAATTTATTTATTTATTTTATTTATTTATTCGATTTATATCCCACCCATTTGGTATATTCTACCACTCTTATGTGTATTCTTAAACATTGCTTTGGGTGTCAGTTTGTTTCTGAGCCCACTTCAAAATGCTGGGCTTCACCTTCAAAGCCCTTAGACGCTCCAGCTTTCAGCCTTCGGCCAATATCATAGTAATGTGGCAGTTCCTCCCTGTCTGCTTTCTACACTGTTGCCCTGAGGAACACCTTGAAACTAACTCTGGAGAGAGTCTCAGCCACCTAGAATTGGTTTTGTGATGCCTAGGGGCTGCAAGGAGAGGTCAAACTCCTTTCCACTCCAGTTCTTGTAACAAAAGGAGTCCCATCTATGCAACCACTCAGTTGGATCCTGACTTATCACAAGGACCGTGTTCTCCTATATTAGTCAATAAGGGTATGTCACACTGAAAGGTTGTCAAGACAAGGAAACTGAAGGTTAATATGTTGCCTATGTGCAATAGGAATGACCAGTAACAGAAATGTCTACAGCATTACTAGAGTGCAGTGTTAGCACCCTTTGATTGGCAAAAACAAAATCAATCCCCCAGTGAACGTCTCCCATTTCTTAATGAACACTTTAGGAAATTCTGGAGTTTGTTTTGTTTAGATCTTCTTCTTCTTCTTCTTCTTCTTCTTCTTCTTCTGAATCATTAAAGAATGAATCATATTTAAATTGGATAGAGAGTTCATGAGGTTTTATTTAACAATTTCCTTGGAAAGTGCAATCTGGTTGTTGACTTCTCCTTTCTGAATCACCAGCCATCCTGGGAATCAGGAGTCAGTAGTGTTTAACCTGTCTAAGCCATTTCTGCATATTTTATGAATATGGTCAATGGCTCCTTGCTTCTAGTGCAATGCTGGATAATTAGCTAAGCATTTTGGCTTTGTTTTTGGGGGCTGGGTTTTGTTTCATTTTTTGCAGTGGAAAGTTTTGACCCTACTCAAGGTAATTTTTCACCAGAACATTTGCAGAATTGGGTACTCCTGGGTTGAAGTCCCATAAGGAGATAAATGGAAAGAAAAGAGGGGCAATAAGAACAAAACATGACCTAAGAATCTGAAGGATCCTATTGTCATGCACTTTGGATTATCTCACACAATCAAATCTATTTTAAAATGTTTATAAAGTTTCATATTACAATTCTTGCTTTCCTCCATTGAAATAATAAATATAACTGACTGCCTTCTTTGGGCTTCATTTCTCATTTTCCTGACAAATCAAGTATATGTTCCAATGTCAGATGTTTTAGGCTGTCTCAAAAGTGTGTTACTGCACGTTACTAAAACCACCACGTGAAAGAGTATTATCTCACTTCATTTGCATAAATGAGAACAAATAAGTTTTTAAAACCAAGTTTTCTGCTTGCTAGATGAGATTTATGAGAGTTTCTGTGAATTTGGGGGTTTGTGAAAAATTTGTGGAACAGGTATCTGTGCAAAAAACGTATTTTTCTATGAGAAAAGTGTTTCATTCCAGAAATGTATTTGGCAAAAAATTAAAATAAAATAAAACCACAAAATGATAAGTAGGACAAAACTCAATTTTCTAGTTCTGGGCTTTTTGCTTAAATGCAGGACCACAAATTCTTGCAGCTCTTTCCAATGTTGTCTTGACTGGGTTTATGAAGAGAGCCTTTTATTTTTGGTTATCAAGAGAAAACTTATGATGTGTTTTGGCCTTAATCTTGACACAAGTCGAAATATACCAGTGATGATTCTAGGATGGTGTTTTTATTAGTTCATGTGTGTACGTACATACACATTGGTGAAGCATCCCACAAAACAATTTTCATGGAATCTTGCATGCACTCAAATCAAGATTGCCTCTCTTTTTTTGGAAATGTGTTGTCAGTGCATGAATCCCAATTGTTAACTTGGGATGGGTGGGATACACAGATCAATGGAAAGAGCTGACTTGTGGCCATCTGCCCATATAGTTCAGGAATAAAAACTGGAACAAAACTGCAGTATGCGCCAGACTGGGCAATTTGGAGCTTCAAATACCAAATATTGTTCACCTCAGAACCGAGTATTTGCATTTGATCCCAATATTTTTGTATACCTCTGCATATTTATATATTTCGATGTTTTATTTGTGGCTGGTCTTTGACTGTAATAAAGTTCTATCTATCTGTCTATCAAATACCAGAGAAAAACTTGTAGGCGGAGAATTCAAAAACATTCTTATTTATAACTAGTGATATTTTTATATCTTCATCCAAAGTAGCATTCATGCAGCAGGTGCGGTCTTTTCCTGGGCTGAGATGTTTCCTACTGCTCCTCCATCAATTCTGGAAGGATTTTATCAGACTTTGTTATTTGCTTTCATGTAATTCTTGTCTCGTTAGCCATATAGACTTCCTTTGGTGCCTCACCTCACCGTCTTCTCTAGAACTTAACCCTCAGGCTGGTTCTCCTAATTACTTTCTGCCTCTGACCTTCAACTACTAGCTCTGGCCTAGGACATTAGCCTTCCTCTCAGAACCCAGCAACAAGGGCAGATGTTTGCTAAGGCTAAACACCCTGTTTGGGATTGTTCCCTTGATGGATCTTAGTAGAAAGCCTTCCATAAAAAGAATAATACAAAATCTGGGGATATGCAGGTTCCTCTGGGCCTGCACTGGGTTATCTGGAAAAGAGGCCAGACTATTTAAAAACAGCTAGCAGTACCCAAGGGGCCATCCTAAAAAGTAGAGGATGCTGTAATTTTGGGAATCAACATAAGGGAGACAAACTGCTTTTATTCTTGCTTCTGTGTATTCAAGCAGAAATCTACTAATTATGTAGAAACACTTCAGCATCGCGATAACTCTTAACAATCACCCCACTGGATGGAATCTTTTTTAAAAAATCTTTTTGTACTCAGTGCTGTGATGCCATTGTATCGCATCTCGGGCAGTGAAACTGGGCACCATATGTTGGCTTTGATGGATGGTGCAAGCAGTATCCCCCCATCACCACCAACAGGAAAAGTGGCTTGCCTCTGATAAGCTTATCATGTAAGGATAGGCTTCGTTTGCAACCTCCTATCGACCTCTCTTGTGTGTGGCGATAAGAAGTCAGGATCTTTCTGAACTTACTAAGTACAAGAAACAAATCTCAAGGTAGTTAAAGGCCTTATATATTTTCACCCAGTAAAGAAGAGATGAGTAAATTCTGATGGTGGTTCCTCCATACCCCTGCTATAGGAAACACAGAAAATTATTGGCGAAAACTAAAGTCCTGCTACTACAGTTGTTATTACATGCAGTCAAGTCACTGCCAACGTATGGCAGCCCTATGAATGAGCAATCTGCAAATCTCTTGTCCCCAACAGCTCTGCTCAGCTCCTGTAAATTCAAGCCTGTGATTCCTTTAGGGAGCCAGCCCATCTCATACTTTGTCTTCCTCTTTTCCTGCAGCCTTCCACCTTTCCTAGTATTATCTTTTCTAGAGAACCCTGCCTTTTCATGATGTGCCCAAAGTAGGACAGCCTCAGCTTCAACATTTTTACCTCTAGAGATAGTTTAGGTTTGCTTTGATCTAGCCATCCACGTGTGCTATGCGACAGTATTCTATTGTCACTTAAGACATGTAGGTAATACCTATGGGAAATTGAATGAAATGGTTTGGATAGACTTTTAATGTGTATTTTTAACTTAAATTAAGGAGCATTTGCTGTGTTCTGCTGTGTATTTTTTAAATTATGAGTTTTGATATGAAGTTTGATTACACAGTGGTTTATTTTTGCTCTTTAGGTTTAAAGGTAGGTTGCCTCCTTGATCTTGAGAGCCATAATTTCTCTACTGTGGCAACATGATGGGCAAATTTACAAAATTGATACATGCAGGGGAGGCCTCCTTAATAGTTCTTAGTCTTCCCCTTTGGATTTATGCACTGCTCCCTGTGCTCTAAGATGTTTGTGTTCTTTCTGCTCCCTCCAGTAACGAAGGTGGTGTGTGCCGAGCAATGCGATGGACGATGCTATGGGCGCTCCGTCAGTGAATGCTGCCACCGTGAATGTGCCGGAGGCTGTTCTGGACCAAAAGACACCGATTGCTTTGTAGGTTTCTGCATTCCCTCTTATCTTTCATCCTAGCAGCAGCTCTGCTCATTCTTATGCTTTACTCCAAGGAACTTCTAATAAATTGGGGGGGGGGTTTACTTTAATTAGACTACGTATACAGTGAAAGACATTCGCTAGACATTTTAGCACTCATATTTTCCCATTACATTTCTCTTACTTATCAGCATATTTCTCCAATTAAAACATTTATGAGATTTGCAAATAGAGATTTGGAACCATTTATATGCTAATTGGTGTGAAAAAAAATTTATCTTAAGTAAAAGTACACTTTTACTTCCCTAAAAGTAATGATTACAGGATGTGGGCTGGTGGTGGTGGGTTCATTGAGGAGATGGGACACTGCCTCACCTCAGACTCCAGTTCAAGGCATACCTAGATAGCTCACCTTATTTGCCTGTTTATCACACAGAGGAACAGGGTCTCACCTGTGTTCCCCTCCTACTCACTTCTCAGCCTCTTGATGTGCAGGAGACAGAAAGTGGTGACAGGAGACAGAAAATGATAGCACAACGTTACGTTTGCTATTTATGGATAACCACTTCCATCAGAGGCTCTGCCTATCATTACTGGCTGCAGTGCCTTTTCCACATCAGCTACAATGGCACCAATGACAACTGATGTAGACAATTCATTCAGAATAGTGGTTTTAAATGAAGCACACATAAAATACCACACTAAAGTCAGAATGTAAAACCTGATCTCCAAATAGTGAACAAAGCTTGTTGATGTCTAAAGAACATGCTTCCGCCTAAATGAGCTTCTGATTTCAGCATAACAGTGAAGGTCTGAGTACCATTTTGAGCAGGGAATGATCTATTACCCTGTCCACAGCCCTGCTGACCCACTCTGTTCAGGTGGGAAATGAGAATTGCTTTTTCCCCCCTCTTCTTTCTTTGGGAGAACTCGGCCGGCTTATTTTTAACAGTCCTTCCTGCATTGCTCCAAAGAAAGACATTTTCTTTTCAACATTTTTCTACATGAATGCCAGGCTGGTAGAAGTGAGTACCCTTAGTCAAAGGTAGATCATGTAAACATGAGAAAGTCTGTGTGGAGAATATAAAGGAGCATCTCAATAGCTAAAATTAATGTGAAGACTCACACTTGACTATGTTGATATTTTCTGTGGTTGGCCTCATGCTTATGGAATTGTTTTCCTGAGATGATGTATTCATATATAATATAAAATAAATATAAATTTATAAATGGCCAGGAAGATTTAGCTTTGTTATTATGAAGTGTAGCAATGGTATTTATTTTATGATTTTAACTATTATTGATACTCGTTTTCTTGTAATAGTAATTTAATTCTGCTGCTTTATTTAACCATACCACTGTTCTGAGTTCTTATTTTTAAAAACTGACTTGAACAGATTTTTTAATATTTAAAGATGCCATAAAATATGAATGTCATAATCATCATTATTAAAACTCATAGAGTAATAACAGCCCCAGTTGAGAACACAACAGACTGGAAAATGATATATATATACACTTGCCAGGCTAGGATTAGGGGCCTCCCAGGTGGAGAATATGAAAGAGCATCTCAAGAGCTAAAATTAATATGAAGACTCACACTCAAGTAAGTATTTGCGCATAGTGTGTTTCTGCTTCAATCCACCAAAGCTGCATTTGGAATTTCTGTGCATGGACTTGGAAATGATTTCAATTCAAACAGAGGTAACATATATTGTTACCAATGTGAAATGAAAATGTGGTGCAGAATTGGCATCCTTAATTAAAGGCTGTTGTTTGTAGGTGTCAAGTTACTCCTTTCTGTTGTACTCCCCCCCCCCCGCATACAAGAAAGAGTTGGTTTGAAATCAGGAGTGAGAAACATGGGGAAACTGACTGTATGGTTGGTTGGTTTGGACAGCAAGAGATTGGGGAGGGAGAGTTTCACAGACAACGATGTCCTACTTTTTAAAAAACTTGAAGGCCAAATTTGATATAAGAATTAGAAAAAAAATAACTTTTTTTGGACTGCAGTTCCAAAATTCCCTGGAAATTCCCAGAATCCTCCTATGTATTCTGGGGCATATGGGCAAATACCATTTCGAAATTCTGAGTGTGACAGCAGAGGTGAGATTTTTTTTTAAAAAAGTGTGGGTGTGTGATTTAACACTGGCAAGATTTCATGAATGCAGGGAGCTGAATTTTTCACTTATCTCTTTGTAGTCAGCTACTGGACTTGTGTAACAGCAGCATCATCCCTGGGTCTGATGAAAGTCTGATAATATAATTTAAATGCAAGTCCAGCAATCCTGCCACAACTCTTTGGGTGGTTTCCCCCTACCCCTAGTCTTGGAAAAGACGGCAGAGTAAGAATGGGTAGAAGAAATTCCATTGCTGTTCTAGTTTTGTTGGAATTTGGTTTTCATCAAGATTCACAAAAATTCTCAAAACCGGAGGAAGTAAACCTGTTAGATTTGTCTGCCCCCTAAAGATGGATGAGAATTTCACTTTAATATGCTTTAATAAAATTCACAGCATTCAAGTGTGGGAGGAAAAACCCACAAGTCAGATTTATCTATCCCCTGAGGATGGGTGAGAATTTCATTTCATTTAGGTTTTTAAAAATCAATTTACCAAAGTTCACAATGTTCGTGCGCCAGACAGATTTATGCATCCTTGCAGTGCAGGAACAGTCCAAAGGCACAGAAAAGACTGATTCCTTGCCATGGCTGCACTCACAGGCCCTCCTGGTGCAAGTTCAAAAGCTTAGATTGCTCCAAAATATACTGCCATAACTTGTAAACAGGACTTTGTAGTTACAAATGAAAACCTGCCTGAATTTATCAGGTAGATACTAGTAGATTTTGTATGAAAGATTAGCATCTCTTTTGGCTGTGTGTGATTTGTCCTTACATTTTTATTATACAGTTACTTAGCAATTTATTATGATGATAATGTACCTTGAAAGGCAACAGTGGATAAGGACAACAGACTGAGGAAAAGAAATATGTTATGTTTTGAATTAATTAACAGAACCTCCACATAGGATGAATGAAGAGATGTTCTGGCTTACAATGCCTGCTTTCTATAAGCTATAATATCCTGCTGTGAAAATCACCAGATAGGGCAATCAACCATTGTTCTCCATGCACTGACAAGTATTCATTTGGAAGCAAAGAAGTATCTCTCTCTGTAGCATTACTGCTTCAGCAAAATTTCCATGTAAAGATTTAGAGGCATTTGGAGAACAATAAGAGTCAGAATTAAAATAGATCTAAACATGTCTCTGACCAGGTTTTGTGCCTTTATTAGCTCCAGAGGTTTTAACATAATCACCTGGTTGTATTAAAATGGGTTTCATTGAAAAAGTCTTGTTTCTACAATGCAGAAACTATCAATATTCTGTCTCTCTGAACCACATTAGCACATTAGATTCATACAAGAAGACTCCTGCATTTGGCCCCAACCTCTCTGTCGTTTGCTTTGTCTGGGGTTTAGCAGCAGACACTCTGTTTCCTAACAGAGGCCATTTGTTACTTAAGCCATGCTCTGCCGTTTCCCAACCGTATGGGGTCAATTGACACATTAAGACAAAAACATGTTTCCTCCTTTTACTATGTTATCCCTACAGGCATGCAAATCTTTCACAGCTACATATCTGAGGCACCCGGACATACAATCAAATCCTAGTATCTTCCAACTGACCAATTACAAAATAAAAGCAATGCAATTTGCCAAATGTGGCAAGCTTGTTTGAGAAAAGATGCTCTTTTCCTCTTAAGAATGCACTGCTTCCAGATATGAAACCAACACCTTGTCTGCTGGTGCCTCTAATCCGAGTGTAGAGAAAAACTGTACCTGGTGAATATCATTCCTTTGCGCAGCTGTACAAGTAAAAGGCACAGCGTTGCTACCAAGAAAACAAGCTGCCCTGTTTATTTGTCCCACCAAGACCATCCTGCTGTCTTTAGTTGACAGGGGAAAGGAGGAGTGTTGCATGAATTAAGATGTGTTTTGGTTGCTCCAGAGATTCCACCTGGCCCTCTAACCTCCCTGAACCTGCACTCCACAGAGACTGTTTGCAACTTGCATCTAAGTTAGCACCATATCTGATTAAACAGGTGAGGCTCGTGGACAGAATACCTACTTACAATGGAAAGACCCCTACCTGAAACCTGAGAGCCACTGCAGGCAGTATTGACAGTATTGGGAAGGATGGATCAATTCAGCATTAGCAGTTTCCTATGATGACTAGCAAACTGTCTATGGGGTGTTTGGGACCACTTCCTGCTATGGAAATCTCCAGTCTCTCAAGGCCTTGGGAGAAATGTGGTGGTAGCTTTTCTTGGACCATTTCTCTGGGAAGGATAGGCAGTGAACCTTGTTGCAGAAACACTGCATCACCCAACTGGCTGCTGTGTGGACATCGGTTTTGCTTTTATACTGCTGCCAATAGCTTAAGAATATTTTCCCATTATACTTCTCCTGTTCTGGTTAGTAATGGGTCAGTTTGTTCAAGCTCTGATGCAAACTGTATTTTTGTTGTCATGTAGGCATGTATGAATTTTAATGACAGCGGGGCGTGCGTCACACAATGTCCCCAGACTTCTGTCTACAATCCTGCCACCTTCCAAATGGAAAACAATCGGGATGGCAAATACACCTATGGTGCTTTTTGTGTCAAAAAATGTCCACGTAAGTAAGGCTTTTCTCCTAGGGAAGCATGATGCTTCAAAATCTTAAGAAACCATTGTAAAGCATGTCAACTCTATAGCCAGATTAATTATGAGACTGCAATAATAATTCAACTTCTTCAACAGCAATATCTTGAAGTTATATTGTGTTCCAAGAATGTCATTGTTGAGTGCTGACATTTTAATAATGCATTTTAACCTTAGAGCCAAAACTCTGTGCTAAATATTATGGTTTCTACCTTCAAAATCTCAAGTTCTAGCCAATAACTTACTTGTTATGTATGTCAGATGTCAAATATGGAACACATTCCAACATTTCCTTTTTTTGAAACAAAATCTCATTTTCATTTCCCTCAAACATGAGTGGAAATTATCTTTTATGTCTGACCTTTCCTTGAAATTCAAGTGTGTGGCTTTGTAATGTCAGTAAAAACACCCTCAATGCTACCAGGATACATAAAATATTATTCATGAGTCCACAGAACAGCTGCAAAGGACAGTCAGCAGGATGGAGTCTGTTTAAAACTCCCAGATACTCCACCTTAAATGCATTTCAGACATAGAATACCAAACACAAACTTTGGAAACTGTTTATGCCACCTATTGCCTCTGCATTCATCAGAAACAGAATGGAAGGCATGCTTTTAGGAAAGCTTTCTTTCCCTACTTTCTACAGAGTACATAGATCCTGATGGTATTGTCTCCTGTTCTACTTGGGGAAAAGAGCACACCAGTTATACTCATGTGTGAGCAGAGTTTTAGGAGCAACAAAGAAGCTGATACTCAGCAGCATAACTTCTGCCACATGAGGCTGGTGATCTTACACAGCCAAAGTTATGCTGCTGGATTTCAGACAAAATGTTTGAAGGTTGTGGGTGGATAATCTGATGCAGGTGGGATTCATAGGAGCTGGTATGCCATACTTGCAAGGATAATGTGAAAATTAAGGGATAGTGATTTTTTGCTAATTGTTACAGAAACCCTGTATGCCACCTGTAGATTACTTTGTGTCTCACTGGAGCTACACATGCCACTGTCCGAGAGCCACTGCTTTAGTTCTTAGTGTCCATTTGCCACATCAGACCAGTAAGTGAGACATGAATGAGATGAAATTTGAGTACTGGCTTAGGCCATTGTAATGTAATTAGGGAAATCGAGTTGTACATAATTGGCATTGGGGTTTGATATTAAAAGTGGCCAGCTCCTGACCAGTTATTAAATTAAATTTCACCGTTTGCTATGAACAGAAATATGCAACCTTTTTGGCCATTGTTTTGGGAAGTTAATTGGTGTTATTGTCAGTGTGGAATAACAAGTCACTTTAGTTTCGTGCCTTCATGTGCATGAGGCCAAGATAATTGAAAGCATCTTTTATTTTATCCAGTGGTTGGTACCAGCTTGGCTGTGACTGGGGCTATGTATCCTTTGATGCTAAAATAACATTTTTAAACATATTCCAAAATACAATCCTCATTAAGATGGAGTTACAGCGTCAGCATCTCAAGGGAAATGAAACTTTTAAAGGATGTTGAAATTAGCAAGAACACAAAGCAGCGGGTATACAAAGAATGTAAGCTTAGAAAAGACTTCAAAAGAGAGAATGTAGCATCTGAGGAAAATCTATAAAGAAAAACAACAAATGTGGTCGCAGGAATGTAGGTCCCACCTCCAACTTGCTCCACCATCTCAGTTTTAGAAGGGATGGTGTTGAGAGCATCCATTGTGCACAGCGTGCAGACTGAGTTTGTGGTGTTCCTTTTTTTCCTTAGACAACTTTGTGGTTGATATCAGCTCTTGCGTACGCGCCTGTCCCAGTCCCAAGATGGAAGTTGAAGAAAATGGCATAAAGACATGCAAGCCGTGCACTGACATTTGTCCTAAAGGTATGTTTATTGTAATTTCAGTGGCCACCGAACTAAAACTTTAGTACAAGAAGAAAAAAATGTAGTTAAAACTCTAATTGTTGTAATTATGTGTTATAATGCATAGTTGTGTGCTCAAATGATACAAATCCAGGAGCAAACTTAAAAATGAAACCAAACTGAGTGGCAAACACAGTGTGGTTCAGTATACAGTACATTGCTCTACCTTGGAATCTGAGAAAAAGGGTCAGATCTGGATCTCTCTGGAAAAACGTCTCCTCTTCCAAGGTGGTAAAAGGAAGTGAAATACTCAATTAAGCTTAGGAAATGATGGGGAAGGATTCTCCACCCTCAAAAAATAAATGAGAGTGGCAGCAATGTTTTAACCAACATGTAGGTGAGCCACCATTCACTACAGTACTAGAATCATCACCCACTCTCAAGGAATGACATGTAGGTGAGCCACCATTCACTACTAGAATCATCACCCACTCTCAAGGAATCAATGCATCCAATACCAATTGGTGCAATTCTTCATACATGCAATCAGAAAGCTCAACAAAAACCAAGGGGCGTCAGAGCACTGCTAAATGTCACAGCAGTGGGTCCTTCCAGTTCCCAGTGCAATGGCTGTGTGAAAAGCAGTTTCAAGCTGAGGAGGTGGAAGGGGGAGCCAAGGCTTAACTCGCTCTGCGCTCTTCTACCAGAAGCAGTTTTTTTTTTAAAGCTGGCCCTTGCTGCAGCCAAGGATTGCTTCCAGTCATGAAGCACCACTTTGAGAGAAAACAGCTTTGACAAGCTGTTGAGGGCAGTACAAGCTCCCTTCTGTGCTTTAAATTGCTCACAATAAGTCATTTGTGCTTCTTTAAGATATTTGGTAGCAGACTTGGCCTTTTGACAGATCGTATTACCACTGGCTTTCCAATGGAAGTCATAAGGGTTCCCCAACATGGGCCCTCACAGTACCCCAGGGTCTAGAAACCATGGATAAAAGGCTGTCTTGCTAAGCCACAAGTCACACATGCTGAAGTCACAAATCAATCTGTGAGATCCCGTGCAGTACAGTGGTTAGAATGTTGGACTTAGTTGGGTTCAAATCCCCACTTGGACACAAAAATCACTGAATGACTTCAGGCTGGTCATAATCTCATAGGGGACCTAAGTCAAGGATTGTTGTGAAGACAAGGTGGGACAGAGGAGAACCACGTGTGCTGCTTTGCACTTATTCCAGGAAACACAGTGTATAGATGTGATAAATAAATAAATAAGCATTTCCTCTGCTGATATGGTGTGAGGAAACACAGTGTAGAGATGTGGTAAATAAGCATTTCCTCTGCTGATATGGTGCTAACTTGCTATTAAAGTCAAGTGCTGAAGTCAATGGGAGAGGAGGCTGACAAGTATTATTTAATGGATTGATACTTCATTAGGGTTCTTACCAAATTCTCCCTTCTCATTGATTTAGTGCAGAGTTATGTAAGAACATTTTTACAAAGAGAAAGAGAGAGAGAGAGAGAGTTTTGTGCAAAATATTGCTCTCACCACAAGAACATTTTTGCAAAGAGAAAGAGAGTTTTGTGCAAAATATTGCTCTCACCAATGTGTGAACTCTGTAGTGAGAGAACCAGAAAATTCTTTACCATCTTCACAAGTGTGGAGAAGAATATTGTATTTTCATATTTCCATGTCTGATTTATCTCCTATGTTCAATCTTCTCTCAAAGCTTTCTATAGCCCTCCTCGGGTGTTACACCTGAACAAGTTATAGAAACATACGGCTCCCTACCCACTCTTTCTGCTCATGATGTCAGCTCTCTCCCTGACCTTCCCCCTACCTCAGTTGAGAAGGGAGCATTGAGGTTTGCTTGTACATGAGTAAACTTAGCTAGTATATAGTTGGGAACTCTGATAAAGTAAGATCTCTGGTTATGCTGAGATTTCTACTCATGGTCATAGGTGAAACCTCGTAGATCAACCTGGCAGGATCAAGAACAAGAAGGCAGGGTTTGGGCAGGGCCAGCATATTTATTTATTTTATTATTTTATTTATTTTATTTATATCCCGCCTATCTGATCGGGTCAGGACCACTCTAGGCGGCTAATTCCATAGTTAATTCCATGTCCAGTGCCCATTTGCAGTATTGTGCACTTGGCCACCACCTGGTTATGCTGAGATTTCTACCCATGTTCATAGGTGAAACCTTGTAGGATGGTTCAAGCAGGATCAAGAACGAGAAGGCAGGGTTTGGGCAGGCCCAGCATAGTTAATTCCATGCCACTGTCCATTTGCAGTATTGTGCACTTGGCCACCAAGTATCTCTTTAGTGTGAAAAAACTGGCCTTTCATTGTCCTTCAATTTAAAAATCCCTACAACTGAAGATATTGAGAAAATGTTTGGATACACCATTTATGCAGTGTAGTACTCACTGATACAGGTTGCTGTTGATTCAGCCTCTAACAGTCATGGACATGTCAGACAGCCCTAGTCAATCCTCAGTTACCTGTTTCATGAATTGACATGAGAAAATGAAAGGGATAGCAAGTGTTGTTAGCTGCTTCAAAGGAAATTGAAAGAGAAAGAGAGACACAGAATGTTTAACTGTATTAATTCCCCTGAAAAGAATTATGACTATTTCGGACTACTTTTATTCCTTCAGCGGTGAAATAATATGCCCCAGAGGAAAAATCATACGGTACTGAGGAGGTGAAAGAAATGTACAAGCTTTTAATAGGAGCTTTAGATTTGTAAAAGGAGTTTCACTACCAGCATATGCTCAAATGTTGTCATAATGCTTACTGGTATGGAGCATTTCTAATAGCTAGCCCGCGAAGGACCTTTAAAACCTTTTACCTTTTTGACCTGCTTCTTACTGAGTCGGTAAAACCTGTGTCTGGTTTGTACTGCCCTGTACTGGGGTGGGGTGGGGGGCTTTCATGAATGAGTGATCATGTCTCTACAAAGAAAACCACCACATGAGGGAGAAAGATATACTGTCCCACTTCGGTTACAAGGCTGTGCCCAAGGGAGAATTTGGCCCCAGTGTTTGGGTTGTGTCATGTTAGGGGCCATCTGACCACTACTCTGACCTCACCTTAAATGCACAGTGTGCATGGCAACTGTCTGGATGCTCAAGGTCCTAGTCCTTATTTTTCATCGCTATATATGAAGACCAGCTGTTGTAGCTAAACATCACAGCTAGCTCACTTGCTTGTCTCCCTCTTCCATTTAGCATGGTTATTATTACCACGTCACAGATAGCTAGCTCACTTGCTTGTCTCCTTCTTCCATTTAGCATGGTTATTATTACCACTGCCTTTGAAATCTACCTCCTAACACTGCTGCCCTTAATACAATTTCTTGAAACAAGCGATCATGTGTGCAGGTCACAGACATTAGTTGAGCTTCTTATCACCACTTTACACTTTACTGTCTAAGTATTTCTTTGTGTCCTCTGGCCTTATGCTCTTATGTGCTTAAAAGAGTTGAAGAGTTAAATGTATAGGACTCAAAGGGATGTTTCTAAGAATATGATTCTGTATGAAATGAACAGGAAAGAGGTTTGCACCAGAATCCAGTGGAATATATGGCCATAAAAGTCTGCTTCCCTGTCTTCTCAGGACGTGTGTCCCTTTATTCTTTCGTCCCCATTTCTCAACATTTCTAGTCCCATTTGCTACCTCCCTGCTCTTAGCCTAAGTCCACTTGGTTTCGCAGCTCCCCTTCATAATTCCCACTCATAGTGACATATAACCTTTTGCTCAGAATTTTAGAAAGGTTTGTTTTCTATGACATTCTCAGAATCCCTTAGCCAGCATGACCAGCTGACCGGGGGATTATTCTGGAGTTCTCATCAAGAAGAATAACCTTCTCGATGCTGTTTCTGGCCAGGGATATTTAGGAGAGATTCCTTAACCTTCTAGCTGAATGTCTGCCTGAAATGTAACTGTATTGCTTGATAACATCCTGTGACTGATCCTTGTTTCTCAAGGTTTCTCTGCTCTCAGTTTGATTCCAGGAAAATTGGACTATTTGCCCTGTTTCCCACTGATACATTACAGATCATCCTGGATTTTCAGTCCCTTTATGCACTTAAAAGCCAAACTCCTGTTTCCTAGTGTAGTAAATCACACTAGAGTAGACCCAATGAATCAGTGGCAATTTGCTAAGTCAACTCCTCCCTATGTTGCATTAATTCAAATGGGCCTATTTTAACTATAGCTTACTGTAACATAGTCACACTTAGAGTAGGCCCATTAGAATCAATGGAACTTATGGAAGAGTTTACTTGCTAAACCCCATTGATTCAGTGGGCCTATTCTAGTGTGATTTATTACACTAAAAAACAGAATTTGGGCCAGTGAGATAAATATGTAAATGTATAACTGAAGTTTTTATTTTTATTTTTACAGCATGTGATGGCATAGGAACAGGAAGTTTGATGTACGCTCAAACAGTAGACTCCAGTAATATTGACAAATTTGTCAACTGCACAAAGATCAATGGGAACCTGATCTTCCTTGTTACTGGAATTCATGGGTGAGTGCAAAGAACCATGAGATGAAGCATATAAACAACAGCTCCAATAAACTGTGCAACTTTGCTGCTATTCCAGGTTGAATTGAAATACCAAGTCAGCATGACCATCACCAGTAACCAGTCTTATTTTGGCATAAGAATGTGTCCTCTACTATTATTGAACCATGGACATCAAAAGGACCACTTTGATTTGCACATCTTGAGGTTGAAATCCAACTTCTGGAATAGTTTTAGGGTTCTGATCAAGCCTTTCTGAGTCTATTTTGAAAGAATCACTTCGGTGGGGTGTGTGTAGAATTATTCTGAGCAGTCTCAGGAAAGACAGAGCATCAGTGAGAGACTCAGAGGGGCTTGTGGGGAGAGGCCTTTACAGCTTGTTGCCGGTGTTCAGTTCTTGCCTTCTATGTTGCACTTTAAAGAAGGAAATTCCTGGAGGGTCAGTGTGTGGTCCTTCTGATTTCTTTCTCTGCTTTGCCATGTCAGCAAAGAGATCCTTATGAAATTCTCCTCTTGTGTATTCTTTTCCGGAAGTGATGGTTCTGAATTATGACATTCCGTGCTTCCAGAGCTGCGCCATGTTAGCAATCTGCTATTCTTCTATTTTCCTTCATTTCCGAACTTCATCTGTATGCAGTTTGGCGCAGATTTTAGCATTTTGTTTCCCCTGCTCCTTTTTGAAAATTTGCCAATATACATTAATAAACATCTGCATATATGCGTGTTGATTAAATGACCCTGGACCAAAGAAGCCTGATAAAATTGTGTGATCAGATCAGGGTTTTTTTAAAAAACTTTGATTTGTTTTGGGTTTTTGGTGCTGATTTAATTCCACATGCTTACACACTGGTATGCATCAGCAGCTCATAAGAAGAAGAAAAATGATGTGAGCTTAAAAGCTGTAGCCAACTGCATGTGTGCCAAATCTGAAATTAATTTTTGGAATTCTCTTGAGTTAAATTGAGCAGCCAGCTGTAAAAAACATGGTAGAGCCAACTCAGAAAATAGTAGCAAGTCCTGGTGTCAGGTCAGGATTTTTGATGCCTGAACATGTCCCTAAGAACCCTATAGAACCTTATACTGTAGAACTCTAGGAAAAATCAGAAGCCTGTATTCATCACAGCTGGCATATATCTCCAAAAAGGGTTAATTCCAGAATGGAATTGAACAGTAGTTTCCAGTCCAATCAAAATTCATCTGGGTATTCAGGTATAAGCCTTTTCATTGTTGCAATATTTCCAGGCAACGTCAGCTTGTCTAATTCTACAAGCTTTATTTATTTACATTGCTTCTATATTCCATACGCACAAAATAAAATCTCACATACTGACAATATCTGAAAGTCATATTGCTATGAAAAACTGTAGGCACAAATGCTTAAACAGAAATCCATCCTTGCAACTTGTAAAAAGCTGCAAGTTCAATTGCAGTCTAAAGTTCTTCCAACTAGAAGTTGCAAACAAAAGTACATTCAAAAACAAAACTTACTGTAAGTTGTAGGCAGAACTTAAATCACATTATAATTCTGTTTCAAAACTGTAGGAGCTTACATTCGAAAACACAGGAGCTTATAGCCTAAAAAGGCAAATTTAAAAAACAAAAGACAGAGAAAACATGTGTCATTGCTGTGCAGGTATCATATTATATCTAACATACGGGGATGGAAAGGAAAATGTGGCTTTGCATTTCCAAAAGGAAAGCTCCCTGTAACTCAGAGATCTGTCTTTTGCCCTTAGGCAAAGCATGAAGGTTCCCCTTGGTGCTATAGAACACATGCACAAAGGCAGATGAGATCTCATACAGACAAAGTTGGGGATTAAAAATAGCTGCTGCATTGCATAAAAACAGTCTGTGCAAGTGAAATTATGAGAATTGCAGATTATAATTTTTAATAAACCCTGAAAGCTTCAGCAAAGTACCTAGGCGTGGTGCTTTGGCTAACATTTGGAAACAAAACACTGAAAAATAACAACACTAATAGGACTTATTGTGTATCAGAAAAAAGAATTTGGAATCCAAATCCATGGAGAAGTTCAAAGGAGGACTACTCCAGAAATACCTTTAAAGCTACTTATCTGATTTCATTTTACATCTGCTCAGATCTCCCTGACCCCTGCACATGTATATTTCAGTGGTATGGCATCTTCCTAAAGCATCTAAATTATAATCCATTAATTCTGGCATTTTGGCAGACTATAGGTAAAGTATTCATGAAGGCTTTCATGGCCAGGTTTTTTAGGCTCTTTGGCCGTGCTTTGAAGGTTGTTCTTCCTAACATTTTGCCAGTTTCTTTGGCTGGCATCTTCAGAGGACAGGGGTAGCACTCTGTGCTCTGGGTAAAGTGTTAAACTTTTATAGGTAAAGTGTTAAAATTTACATCACGCCATGGGTTTGATTTCTTGGTTGAATCTGGATTTGGCATTTGGCAGGCCATGATTTGAGGTGCTGTGTCAGACTGTGTCGTTACTAAAGAAATGCATTTCCTTGCCTTCCTTTTGAAAAGTTGTTTCTCTTCCTATTGGCAGTTCTTTTTCAGCAGCAAAAAAGTGAGCTGAATTATACTGAACAAAAAGTGTAATTAAAACTGTAATCCTGGTTGGAAAAGGTTGCAAAAAACAGATTGTAAGACACAAAGGGAGAAGCTTGATCCACAAAAACAAATTAATTAATATTTGTTTTTCTGTGACTATTGCATTTCTATCCTGCCTAACTCTGTGTAAAACCTGGAAGTGACACCTGTTTCATTGCTGCATTGCTGAGTCTTTGAGAACTCTTTCCCAACTAGTGTCCTATGTTTGTTCTTGCCATTTGAAGAACAGATAAGGGGGTGCTATGATACACCCCTCATGACTTTGTATATGAAAGCCTGAAGGAAAGGTTATAATTATTTAAAAGCCTTTAGAAAATTCTTCAAGCATTAAAGGCAGACTCTTCAAGTATTAAAGGCAGTCCTCCTCCTCCTCCTCTTGCTCCCTTAATATCTAGACCAGTGATGGCGAACCTATGGCACGCATGCCACAGCTGGCACACAGAGCCCTCTCTGTGGGCACACAAGCCGTAAGTTGCCATAGAGAAATACTTGCCCATCCTCTGATCCTGGATTTCGGCACTCCCCTCTGCTGGTGCAGTGGTCCAGCTGAGGGGGGTCTATCCCAATGGGGGATTGGAGGACCAGTAAGTATTTATTTGTTAATACCACCATGGGGGGGGGGAGAGAGGCATTTAACCCTTGTAGTGCAGGAGCAGTTGTTTTTTTCTAAATTAAAACCTCAGCATTCAGGTTTTAATTGAAATATTGGCACTTTGGAAATAAATAAGTTGATTTTGTGTTGCAGTTTGGGCACTCAGGCTCAAAAAGGTTCACCATCACTGATCTAGAAATACTGCTGCCAGCATTTTTATTTAATGGCATGTTGAAGGGATCTAGACCTTTTTCCTGAAATACTGCTGTCAGCATTTTTATTTAATGGCATGTTGAAGGCATCTTAGCATTTCTGAAGTAATCAAAATAAGTCTTGACTGTCCACATTAGTGTTGCCCAATTGAATTCTGAATGAAATTAAAAGAAAGTTTGAACTTTGCTCTCTAAATAAATTCACTCCCTAAGCAGTAAGACTCTATCATCTACACTTTTTCCTGAAATACTGCTGTCAGCATTTTTATTTAATGGCATGTTGAAGGCATCTTAGCATTTCTGAAGTAATCAAAATAAGTCTTGACTGTCCACATTAGTGTTGCCCAATTGAATTCTGAATGAAATTAAAAGAAAGTTTGAACTTTGCTCTCTAAATAAATTCACTCCCTAAGCAGTAAGACTCTATCATCTACATATAAAGCGCCATGCCTGCTGTTGTTGTTACGTGCCGTAAAGTCATTTCTGACTTATAGCAACCCCATGAATGAGTGATCTCCAAAGTGTCCTGTATTCTACAGCCCTGCTCAACTCCTGTAAACTCAAGCCTGTGTTTTTTTCTAGGAAGTCAATTCATTTCATGTTTGGTCTTCCTCTTTTCCTGCTGCCTTCCACCTTTTCCAGCACAATTGTCTTTTCCAGAGAATCCTGCCTTCTCATCATGTGCCCAAAGTAGGACAGCCCCAGCCCCAGTCTTTTTGCCTTCAGTGATCTAGGACTCACTTGTTGGTCCTTCTGGCAGGCCAGGGTATCCATAAAGCTCTCACCCAACAACCCATTTCAAACAAATGGATGTTTTTCCTGTCAGCTTTTTTTACTGTTCAGCTTTCGCACTCATACATAGTGACTGGAAACACAAGCGTATGGATGTTCTTGGTCTTGGTCTCCAGTGGCACATCTTTGCACTGGATGATCTTTTCTAGTTTCTACATTGCTGCCCTTCTGAGTTTCAGCCTTCTTCCGATTTCTTGGATACATTCTCAGTTCTGATTGATAGTTGTAAAAGACTTTAGCTATTTCAACTTCTTCATTGTCGATGTTAAAGTTGTGTAGTTCTTCTGTATCCATGGGTTGGAGTCTTCAGGCAGGTGGTAAGCAAGCTTGTTTAAATTCTCTCCAACCAATATTCTCCTATGATTTGAGGGATTTGCCTTTCCAGACTGTCACTAATATAACAGTAGCCCAGTATTCCTCTGTATTTTCAGATTTTATGCTAGTATTGGTTATTATTTTATTGACTTAGTGAATGAGCCAGTTATTTGACCTCAGAACAGGAAAAAAATCAAGTCAAATGGTGTCAGATTACACCCTTTCTACAATCATTTCTTTTCACATCCCACAAACAAGCTTTTCCTTCCCAGCAACCTTGAGCCTTCTTCCCTGTTCTCACCTGCAGAGCTAGAAAGTAACGTGTTACAAGCAAGGTAATCTGGAATACGTTACTTTTGAGGGGTGTTGAGAGATAATGACTAGAGATGTGACTGTTCAGTCAACCTCACATGTTGTACAACCTTAGTTTTTTAGTTGTTTAGCTGCTTTCTGTTATTTGAAAACGAAGATGGGCACAAACCTCAGTTTGGAGGTTCATGCCGATTTGTACCTGTGGTGCTGTGAGTTCCCTTCCCCTGCCTCTTTGGCCAATAACTCACTCACCAGTTGGAGTGCACTCCTCACCTCCTCTTCATCTGTTCAACCAATCCCCAGCAGGAGCATGGGTATGTCTATCCTGCCTCCTTGTCTGAGTGGGCAATCAGCCAAGGAGGTGGGGGTGGGAAGCCCCTGCTCCTGCTGGTGGTTGGTTGAACAGCCAATGAGGAGGGGGAGAGGATCACACACTTGCTGGTGAGTGGGGGGATCCAGACGGGGAGGCGGAGTAAAGGAACGGGAGGCTGATACTCATCTCTACTTGAAAATATACCACATTGGCAGTGGTAGTGCTGGCTGAGAAATTCTACACCCTATTTTCCAAAGACTAACTTTTCTAAGTATTGCAATTTCCTGCAAATGTTTCAACATGATTTCATATTCAGATCATGACAATGTATCGTTATTATTTTCCAGAGACCCTTATCACACTATTGAGGCGATTGATCCACAAAATTTAAATGTCTTCCAAACAGTGAGAGAGATAACAGGTAACCTACAACTGTGATACATACTGTAATTTGAACTCTTTGCTTTCCATTTTTCTTTTCCTTTATGTTTTGTAATATAAGCTGAACCTCGCCTTGTTAGTAAGAGCAAGAGGTTTCTGGTTCAAACTTTCCTCAGCCATGTATTTACTGGGTGGGCCCAGACAACCCTTCTCCTCATGACCTTCTCCCCATATAGCAATACTATTTTACAGGTTGTTGTTAATGCTGCATTTAAATTGAGTTAAGCCTTGTAAATTGCTATCTAAATGTAAAGCATTATTAATATATTACTACTAATAGTATTATCTGACCTAATAGAAAGGATCTCTGTGTACTTTTGAGATGCTATCTGTGTTGCAAATATATAACAAGTACACCATTTTGTGGCTCAGGTGGGTTCTTTCCAGAGAGTGTGTAATAACACAAATTTGTTGCCTTGTTGATACTCACGTGGTATCTCTTAGCATTATTCTTTTGTTGCAAGGCCATTGTCCGATGAGAAACCCAGAAAGTCTCTCTCAGAACATAAGCTTACATACCCAAAGCTATACAGGGTGCAGAATGATAACTGAATAAACATACAACTAAACAGAAGGTTTTCTTCAGTTGTACCATGGAAAACCCCAATTTGTAAATGCTGCTCTTATGTTAAAAATGTCTTGTATCATGTTCAGTTAGAATCTAGAGCTATACCTGCAAATAACAGAAAAAAACTTATAGCCCCTGGTTGATTTCCATTTATAGTCATTAGGCAGTCAGGATTGGGCCAAATCAGGCTGCTTTTCAAATTTGCAAAGCAGCATCCAAGACAAATTCTGTGGTCAGTGCACACCTCTTACGAAGTAGTCACATAACAGGATGTGCATTGAATATTTCATGTTGCTTTACCAAAATAGAGCCCCCTGCTGTTTCTCACATTTCTTGCTGTTGTGGCTTCTAAGAGAGGGAGAGAGAGGATGTTGAAATTAGTTCTGGCCTATGGAACTTTATGCCACAGAACACTTATTAGCCTTTAAAGTGCCCGGTACTCTTTATTACTATTCTCACCACCACTACCACATTTTTCTCTGCTGAGAAGCGCCATCAGATGTGGCACTGACATTTATACTGATGTGGATTCTCAGGATGGGCAGCTACTGCCTTGCCTCTAAGAATGATTTTTGCAGAATCAGATTTCAATAGTATTGAGTGAAGCTGTGACTGCAGCAAGGATATTCACTGGTGTCTCTGGTTTCATCCTCTTTAGGGTTCCTAAATATACAATCATGGCCTGAAAACATGACAGATTTCAGTGTGTTTTCAAACTTGGTTACCATTGGTGGAAGAGCACTATACAGGTAGGGGATATACGTTTAATAATAAACCTCTAATAAGCAACATTCAGAAATAATAACTTTCTAAAAGTGCATTGAGTTTATTTGTTTGGTTATGTTTGGTTACAGAGCTAGCTTCTTGACAAGAAGTTGTCTTGATTTAGATCTGGATCATTTTTTTCTGTTCCTCAAAGAGGTATATACTTACAGTGGGGTCTTGACTTAAGAACGCCTTGAGTTAAGAACATTTTGACTTAAGAACCACTCTCATAGGAAAATATTGACTTGACTTACATACTTAGATTTGAGTTAAGAACTAAAAAAAAACCACGAGAAATAATAACTTTCTAAAAATGCATTGAGTTTATTTGTTTGGTTATAGAGTTAGCCTCTTGACAAGAGGTTGTCTTGATTTAGATCTGGATCTTTTTTTCTGTTCCTCAAAGAGGTATATACATATAAATGCATACAAACAAATGCCATGCCAATTTGTCCTTGATCCATACCTCTCATCTATCACTTCTACACTGTTATCACTACCTTTCAGGTTCAATTGTATTAGTTACTTGTTTACTAATTTTATTATTTTAATAGTTTTTATTTTGTAGCCACTTGAGGAGTAGTTGTATTGCAGGGTGGCATAACGATTTTCTCAATAATATGTAAATAATTCCATAACTCAGAAAGGATGACGCATAACATCAACAACATAAGCAATTCTGCTGCTGAAATATGGAGGAGGGGAGTGTATTTGTCTGCAGGCATTGTAATCTGAAGTCAAGAGATTGTCTCTCCAAGCCTGTTATGAGCTGAGCCCCCAACAGTGCTAGCTCACCTCTGTAAAGCTAGAAACTATGAGTGAGAACTTCCCAGGCATGGGAATTATGTAGATTAGACTTGTTCATGGTGAACCAACATGCTATTCTTCCCCAAAAACTGATGGAGAAAAAAACTGTCTTTCAAAAAGAAAGGTAATTCCTGAGGGAAGGGCAGGAGGAGGGAGAGACAATCCTTTGGTTTAAAGCAAAAAGTTATGATTGAAGCTGTACTCCCTAAAGCATGGATTGTCTGACAACAGATCCACAGTAAACCCTGCAGCAGCATCCTGCTAGCCACCCTACTTCCTATACAATGTGTCACTAATGATTTGGAAGAATTTAATCGAATGACAGGTTTTCATTGTGTCAACATCAAATGTAATCCTATCTGGACTTCCATAATCTTTACTACTCCTGTCTAATTTATCCATATTTAGGAGAAAGAAACCTTGTTATCTTTAATGGCCCTAATTCTAGGGAAGCAGAGGTTTTTCATTTTTAGAGAATGGAGAGCACATAATGAGGTATTTTGCTTATATTTTAACCTCCTCGCACCAACCCTTTTTGGGATCCTTTTTGCTGTCATGCTGAAGCATGCTTTTGGAACTGCAACAGAAGGAGTCTGTCTCCATACTAGATCAGACGGAAAGCTCTTTAATCTCTCTAGATTGAGAGCAAGGACCAAAGTCCAACTGAAATGCATGTGGGACTTCCTCTTTGCTGATGATGCAGTTGTTGTTGCCCACTCTGCTGAAGATCTCCAACAACTCATGAATCGTTTTAGCAAGGCCTGCCAAGATTTTGGACTAACAATCAGCCTGAAGAAAACACAAGTCATGGGCCAGGCTATGGACTCACCTCCCTCTACAGTATTACGATCTCCACGCAAGAATTGGAGGTTGTTCATGACTTTGTGTACCTTGGCTCAACCATCTCTGACACCCTCTCTCTAGATGTCGAGCTGGATAAACGCATTGGGAAAGCAGCCACCATGTTCTCTAGACTCACAAAGAGAGTATGGCTCAATAAGAAACTGACAACACATACCAAGATCCAGGTGTATAGAGCCTTTGTCCTGAGCACACTCCTGTACTGCAGCGAGTCCTGGTCCCTTTGTGCATGG